GTGCAGGGGAATACACGAGCAACACCTTCACAGAAGACATCCAAACCCTCGGCATCAAACGGAAGCAGTCATTGCCAAATGCACACCAACAGATGGGGGTAGCAGAAAGGATGAATCGGACTCTGCAAGAGAAGATGCGTGCTCTGCTAACGCAGGCAGCTCTTCCTTCTCGTTTTTGGCCGTATGCGATGGACCACACCGTGCTGTTACACAACCTTCTTTCTTCAACGTCCCTGCCCGAGTTCTCTTCTCCACACCTGCAGTGGACACGTACAGTGGGAAGTACCAAACTTTTACGAGTTTTCGGGTGTGTTGTACAGTTTCGCCCTCCAACTGCAGCACTCGGCAAATTTTCCGAACGAGCAAAATGGGGGGTACACCTCGGCATAAAAAAACAGTATCACGCATGGAAGATTTTGGATCTTCGCTCCAACCAAATCGTCCCTTCACGTGATTGTCTCTTCTATGAAGGTGTTGGCAACGACTCACCTTGCCCTTTTTTCGTGCCCAACAGGCAGCAGCTGCTAACCCCGCCAGGCTGTTCGAGGGCTCGCGTGCATTTGCAGCCGACGAAGCCGAAGCTGATGTCTAGGACGAAGCAGTTTCTGAAGCCTCCGAAGCTGCCGCAACTGACATCCCTGAACCTGTAACGTCGACCGGCATACCAGAATTTATTCCTCCTGCAGATGCTGACTCACATGACGTTCGCGAAGTTCACCTCAGTTACGATCGCGATCGTCAACAGCAGCCGATGCCCGTCGTCTCCAACGAAGCAGTTCGTGTTACACCTGATGAAATTGGGGGGAAAGAAGGAGCAGAAGAAATTTTCGCAGGTGCAAACACAGAACGTCCGCGTTTTACATAAATCGGCTTACAGATACTTGGATTCGCAGTCGCAGTACAGTACAATGACAGTCAGATACCTGAACCGAAAACCGTTCGACAAGCTCTTACGAGTCCTCATCGCAAGAAATGGCGCGAAGCCATGGACAGAGAGCTAGCAGCTCTCAAGAATCGTGGCACATGGGATTTAATACCGACATCAAAAGTACAAGGGAAGAAGGCCCTTACCAAAAAATGGGTCTTCCGCGTCAAGACTAATACAGATGGGTCGTTTGAGAAATTCAAGGCGCGATGGGTCGTCCGTGGGTTCGAGCAGACTTACGGCATGGACTACGAGATGACCTTTGCTCCCGTCGGTCAACATACGAGTGTTCGAATCCTACTTTGCGTCGCTGCCTGTCGTAATCTACGACTTCGACAAATCGACGTGGCAAACGCGTTCCTCTACGCACCTGTCGACGCACTCATACTGGTAGAGTACCTGCATTCCTATACTCCTAACCCACCGAGCGTATGCCGTCTCAGAAAATCGCTATACGGCATTAAGCAGGCACCACGGCTCTGGCAGCAGTATCTTCACTCACAGCTTGTTGCTGCCGGATTCCGTCAGCTACCGCATGACCAGGGAATGTATCTTCTAACCGACGGCAGCAACAATATTCTACTAGTCGCCTACGTCGACGACATTCTCTATGTCAGTACTACCGATTTGCTTGCGGATACCTTCATACTGAAACTACAGAAAGGTCTACAGCTTACCGTCTCCGAAACAGTCTCACAGTTTCTCGGCCTAAACATTGCCTGTTCACCGACATCAATTCATCTCACCGCTTCAAAGTACGCAGCAACGCTCGCTGCTCGCTTCAACCTCACTCCTACTGCAGTTTCTACACCGTACCGTTCTCTACCGCCTAACTACAAACCGAATACTACACCATTAAATTCAACCGGTTTACAGACCTATCAACAGCAGTTAGGCTGTTTACTCTTCGCCGCTGTAACATGTCGTCCAGATCTGGCCTACGCGGCTAGTCAGCTCGCTCAGTTTTTACGCCATCCTGAGGAGGAGCACCAACTCGATCTTCTCCGCGCGCTTCAGTTTTTCGTCTCGACTCCTGACGTCGGCTTAGTCTACAACGTCATCGGCTGTAAAACTCTGTACCTACACGGTTTCGTCGACGCCGATCACGCTGGTGACACCACTAATCGACGCTCGCGTACTGGGTTCATCTACCGGCTTGAACCTATCCGGCCTATCTCTTGGAATTCGACAAAGCAGGAACTAATTGCTCTCTCATCTGCTGAAGCTGAGTTTATTGCTGTCTGCACAGCAACACGCGAAGGACTTTACATGCAGGAACTATTGGAAGAAGCGAAGTTGACGACGAGTACTCTGTTTACTCTGCAGTGCGACAACCAAAGTGCAATTCGCATCGCGCATCAGCCTGGCTTCGTCAACAGGACGAAACATATTTCACTGCGTTACTTTTTCGTCAAGGATGAAGTCGAGAAGGGGAGGATGCGATTGGTCTATTGTTCGACCAACGAAATGGCTGCCGACTTCCTCATGAAGAAGTTGACACGACAGAAGTTCCAATACTGTAACAAGCTTTGCGGGATCTTCAAGAAGTGACACTATTGAACTTCCAGAAATGAAGGGGAGTGTTGTGGTATAATTCATACTTTGCATTTCTGTAAGTCGTTTATCGATAGATAGTGTCGAATCATACTGTAGAAGATAAGTCCGTAGGATGACGTCAGCAAATAGCGCTCGTCATAGGACAGTCGTTTCAGTCACTCGAACAGTCGCACCTCTTCATTATCATCTAGGGCGCATAGCGCGGTAGTGATGAACAAGTACATTAGCGAATAGGTACTTTCCTAGAGCTATAAATCTTTGTTATGCCTTTTCATTATTAACTTTGATTACCCACAAGTTCGTGAACTCAGGATATTCAACCTTGACTATTATACTTTTACAAGACTTCCGCTGTCTTACTAGTCTACTATTCCAGCAAAGATCATAGGCTAACACTTGAGGTTTTCCAAGTGTTCGTGCTTGCAGATTCTACACTTAGTCTCCTGCAACACCTGACAAATTATTACATGTCCAACCTCCTCATGTAACCTCCGTTGACTCGCGTACCCCATACGACTTTCCTCGAGTGTAGTGTTATCTCAAACTTAGGACAATAGCTTCTTAAGCTTAGGACACTAGCTTAGCTAGGAAGCTATGATACTAGGAAAGGCCGCCATGGAATGGCGGGAGGAAAGTAGATCTAGGAACGAGAAGAGAAAAGTCGAGAAAGAAAAGGGGATCGATTAGGAAGAGAGAGGGGTACAAGGAGGGGATTGTACCCTCTACAGAAAGGTTCAGTAACAACTACTAAGCCTATCAATTATTTATATAACTCATATAGTCTTAACACACCCCCTAGGCTTGGTAGTCACACACCCACCCAATACACCCCCTAACCCCGCACACCCTCTAGCTCGTGCTTAGCCGGGTATCTGACCCTCGTGCTAAGCGTTGACACCCCCGGGTGAGAGGCAGCCTACGGCGTCTGGGTGGCTCAGCGACAAGCAGCGGCGGAGCTCTGGCTCAAGGCGGCTGTGTCGCTGACGGCAGGCGGCGACTGCCGCGGCTGAGGGCTCTTGGCGGTGTGACAACGTCCGGGCAGAAGACAACAGTTGCGACAGGAGGAAGGGAAGACGCAGGGGGAAGGGACGAGTCTTCAGCGACGCGCCATAAATGGCGCGGCGCTTACTGGTGGGAGGACGGCGTCCTGAGTGACGCCCGTGGCTGGCGAGCAGGCGGCAGGTCCGGCGGCGCCACATACGTCACTTGGCCGCAGCGCGACGATGCCGTCGGCTGCCCTAGACGCCGCCACAGCGCGACGTCAATGCCGCAGCGGCGAGGCGGATGGGCGACGACTGCACTATGAGCCCGCGGCGGCATTTCGTAACGGCCGTCACAGCGGCACGAAGACGAGAAGCCGTCACGGTGGCGCGACAGCAGAAGGCCGCCACGGCAGCAGGATAATGAAGGGCCGCGACGGCGGCACATACGCGAACGGTAAAAGCATGCAGCGGAAGCGTAGGGAGCAGGCCCAGAAACGGCCTGCTCTGATACCATCTCAAACTTAGGACACTAGCTTCTTAAGCTTAGGACACTAGCTTTGCTAGGAAGCTAGGATACTAGGAAAGGCCGCCATGGAATGGTGGGAGGAAAGTAGATCTAGGAACGAGAAGAGGTAAGTCGAGAAAGAAATGGGTGGCTCAATTAGGAAGAGAGAGGGGTGCAAGAAGGGGATTGTACCCTCTACAGAAAGGTTCAGTAACAACTAACAAGCCTATCAATTATATATAACTTATATAATCTTAACATGTTACACTTCAGAAACGCTCAAGTCCTCGAAATATTTCCAACAAATGATATATCCTATCCTTCACATGAGAACTTGTTAACAGCTAGAAAACCCTCCTTTTCCACCTGGCACAGAACTCTTTCCTTCAGCCAAGTCCTCCCTACAATTTTTTACACCTGACCTCCCAAATATCAAAGGTAATGGCAATGTGTAAAATCAGATTGGTATACTATACTACTATAAAGCTCACATTGTGTATCATGCGTGTTATAAATCTAACGTCGTAGTGGAGCGGGAGGTTGTTTCGATGGACTCGGGCTGTCTTGCTTCGTGGGGCCAAGTTCTGTGCGCCTCGGGTTCTTCCACCGACGTGGCGAGTATTGGCTCCGCGCAAACCAGTCACTACGGGGTATAATCCGACCACATCAGTACTTGAAAGTGTATCCACGGGGCCACTTTCAAGTACACTAAACCCTACTGGGCCGAGTTTCCAGCTTCTGCTGAAATTACCACGACCGGATCCCAGCATTAGTGGGGCAGTCGTGTCTCAATTCCAATCGAAACTCCATCAAACCCGAATCAGCGTCAGCACAGTCCATCATACGCCCCACTTAGTCAAACGTTTCATTTGGGCCTGGGAGTAGCATTTGGGTAACTTCAACTAGAAATCATGGCTTGGTTGGCACCAGCACCGTGCCATATCGATGCGCGCCTTGACCAAAGCATACCATTCTGCCTGATGGCTCCGCCAATATCATCACCACCAAATTTGAGTTCGCTAATCTCAAACCATTCACCAGTCAACAAACCTTCCACACTCGTGCACCTAGCTGCCACCATGGCCCGTCTTCTCAGCGCCCTGATCCTCATCTCAGGTACTTCACATATTAGCGATGACTTGGTTTCTGCTATTAGAGGATGAACCCCCTCTCACTGTTTTCCATCGTCCGTGCGTGCAGCCTTCGTCGTAGGTGCAGCAGCACAATGTGCAACTCCCCTCCAGGTGAGCCTTTGCGCCTTTTTCCCTACAGCGTTCATGCCTGTCAAATTCTGTGTTATTTTTATCTGCCCGGTGTGGGAAATATCATTATTATGTTCCCGAAACCGATTGGCAGGCATGCGACTTTTTCTTCAAGCCTCCACGTGGCATGAAGCCGTTTGTCCCGACGTTCAAGTTACGGCCCTCCAATATGAACCTCATGCTCAGCAAAACCTCTATCATGCACAAGTAAGTAGCCCGCTCGCCCTTTCTCTCGGATTTTTTCCGCCAACTTCGTTGCGGCCCTTCGTTGCGGATTTTTTCTTGCTTTACGCATCTCAGTCATCGCATGATTCATCATGTTTCGCGCCGTTTTTTTCTTTCCTGATATTGTCAGGTCGGGCGACGTCGTGCTATCGGCGAGCAACAACAACGAATACAACGGATGCATCATGACGCCTGTAAGTTCGCAACTCCCGAAAACCATGAACATCGAACGCGAGATCGCAATGGTGACGAGCCTCACCCCAAGAAATAGTAACCCAAGTTCTAAAATCGGCGGATTCTAACAACGATTCCGCCACCGATTTCCGCTCACAGCTCTCGCCGTGCCTTGTGGATGCAGAAACTGGACTGGCGCACGTGTGACAAGGTGTTTCTGTTCAAGGGAGCGGGCACCGGGCCCATGTCGTACGTCAACACCAACCTTATCGCCATGTACCCCATGACCGCCGACACCGTCCCCGTAAGTTCCCATGGCCGCCGACACCGTCCCCGTAAGTAATCTATGTGTAAAAAAAAGACGGGCCGATGAGTCATGGTTACAACTGTACCTTGTAAACACCTATTTTCAACGGCTTCAATACCACCTTAGTTCTCGTGAGTAACTATCGTGAATGCTCCTTGGCTGCTCTTGTCTTGTTAGCAGTCCAGTTAAAGATGGAAATGACTGCTGTGGTACTGATCTCGACAATCTGTGATTATGCTCGCAGTTGTACAAGAACAGGTGCATCGTTTTGCGAATGGACAACACTCGCCTCGCCCGCACCGGCTATCTCAATAGCGGGGATACCCGCGCTCGATTCCCTGAGGTACGAACGCTCCCACGTTTTTCTTGTTGCAAGGCAATAAGTGGATTATCAGGCTGGTCTCCATTCGACGTCTTCCGCTATTCCGTGCCTTAATCAGTCGTCCTCTACTCGACACCTGTTTGTGACTTCGCAGCACCGCCGCTGCATTGCCTTCAAGACCGCTTGATCGACTCGGGGAGGGGTTGGTGAGAGTTAGGGGGTTCTCAATAAGTAACAGTATCCTGTTCCGATGAAATTCGGAACTCATACATGCAGTAGTGTGGCTTCTCGTGGCGTATCTACATGCAGTGTTCGTTGATGGTAGTTTGGCACAGCTTATTGATATGCCATAGCTTTGTAGACATTCTTTTAGAAATTCTAGTGCTAGCTTCCATTCTTTCCAGTTCTGGGTACCTGCTATGCCAAAATGGCAGGGCTCGTAGGGTTCAACCGCACAGGCTCGAAAACGGTGAGGACGCAGGGGAATTGCAGAAATCGTTACAGGAGGCAGGAGCGCATAATGAGCGCAAGCACATTTAGAACCCAATAAGTTGAACCTATGCAGGGATTGGAGGGAATACAGTACCGATTTCCGAAGACACATGCAGGTGGGAGAGACCTGGCTGGCTTTGCTACAGAGGCCTAACGACTGGTTCCGCCATTTCCTATCAACCCAGGAAGCAGTAGGTCGTGCCGCCAGTGCTGGAGGTGGGGAGGGCAGTGGTGTGAGGAGGCATGGCTCGCAGACAGAACAATCCGTCTGCTGCAGAAATTCGGGGCTCCTTATTGACAGAAACCGCACTAGTGGTGAGTGATTTGGTGAAGGGGGATAAAACATTCAAGGGTGTAGCAAAGCGAGTCAGGCTGCAAACAGTGTCTACACTTCTGAACGAGCACGTGAACCACGGTGTACCACAGACACACCGTTCTGGAAGCATCTCTACCACCTGCCACCCATTTGTTTCTTGGAGCCTCTGGTTCGTAAGTCCCCTTTCCCGCCAAAAGCATCACGCCCTGAGCGCTGTTACAAACATTTCTTCTGTTTCTTGGGGCATCTCCGAACTCAAGGCCTTAAGGCAAGGTTCTAGTAGGTGTCATTCCGAGAAGGTGTCATCCGAGAATGCTGGAAACTCATCGCAACCGTTATTCTGAAACCTCAACGGTTGCGATGGGTTTCCAGCATTCTAGGATAACACTTTCTCAGGATAACACCTTCTAGAAACAGCCCTCACTCGTGTGAGGGCAATCCTACATGCACGTTTGATTGCGGTTTTCTGAGGTGCTTTACGCTTCAGAGCAATCATATAAAACGACAGAACGGTTGACTAGGGTTTCGAGATAATACCAATGTTTCTGACAGCCACTCCGCTTGATCTGAATCGCCCTGACACGAAGTTGTTGGCATCCCTGTGGCCCATGTGGATCCAGCGCACCCCTCCCGAAGTGAGCAGGGTGGTGGTGATAATCAGGGCGTGTCCTGCACATACATTTGATTGCGGTTGGGTGAGATGCTTTCTGAGTTCATCAAACGATTTAAAACGGTTGGGTAGGGTTTTAAGCGAGAAACGTTTCCACCAGCCTGTAGCTCTCATCGGGTTAGTTTCCTTCTTTCGTCTCTGCTTGTTTGACTGAGTGAATTTTGTCCACGACACGACGGCTTCTCATCGCCAAGCATTCCGTCCATGACATGACGGCTCGTTTCCCCATCGCGTGAACCACGGACCATGGCTACTCTCCCCCCTCTGCGCGGGGGAGCGAGGACGAGGCAGCGAGCGGAGCAGCAGCAGGCGGCGCTTCATTGGTCCGCGGACGAACCGTCTCTCGATATGAGCCACGACACCTCGTCGCAAGCCTCGTCGCACGCGTCGTCTGATGCCTCGCGACGTTCGCACACCAAGCCGGTCGGCGAGTGGCCGCCTCGAAATCTCCGACCGCGAAACCCTAACGGCGCAGCACCCGTCGCCGCTAAGACAGATTCTGGGAGCAGAGTCAAGAGAGTAGGCAGGAAGAACAATGGAGACGGTATAGACGGAGAAATTAAAGGGAGTTTAGACGCTACGAGTAAAGGTAGTTTAGGCGGCAGCAGAGGAGGCACTTTAGGTACCACGAATGTAGACAGTTTGGTCTCGCGCGTGAAAAAGAACCTAGCAGACTTGCGCCCGTTTGACGAGTCAGCCAATAACGCGGACAGTGGAGCCAGCAAGAATGCGGACGGCGGAGCGGGCGCGGGGCCAATGGGGAGAGAGACCGTGCAAGGCGGAGGAGGAGGGCCTTCAGGCAGACAAGGGCCCGCAGCTAGTAGTGGATCGGCTTCAGGCGGCGGCGTTCCGCGGAGGAGACGAACGGCTGGCGGGTGCAGCTTCGACAGCTCCTTCGATAAGGTCGTCTCTCTCTAGGGGTATAGTATAGCTCTTTTGACCCGGTCTGGCTGACACGGTCTGGCGCACACGGTCTGGCGGACACGGTCTGGCTGACACCGTATGGCTCACACGAGACGATATTCTCACTCCTATTTCCCCGGGCTCTTGGTTGTGCCATGTTGTTGCTTCCTCCAGTCCGTTTGTGAGCGCGAGTGACAGCGAGGCCACCGTGGGCTGCAGAGCAGCTGTCCCTTCCGCAGATAACCCACTCCCTCCCACCCCCCCCCCCCCCCTCCTGCACTCCCCCCACCAGGTCGCCGCGCCCAGTCCGTTTGTGAACGCGAGTGACAGCGAGGCCACGGTGGGCCGCAGGTCAGCAGCATCCCTCACTGCGGCCGCCTCATCAACCGCCGCTCCCGCTGCTGCCGTCTCCTCCAGCACACCACCGCCTGCGCTCACTGCCAGAGCGCCTCTCGGCGGCAGCCACGGGGTGCCGCCCGTGGGGGGGTCAGGTGGGCACAGCAGAAGCAGGTCGCACGGGTCGGGGCGGCTGCTGTCCCGGCTGGCGCAGCAGCCAGACGTGGGGCTCGCAGGGGATGCAGGGGATGCCGGCACTGCTGCCGCTGCTTCCGCTGGTGCTGGTGCTCCTGCCGTCACTGCTGCTGCTGCTCAGCTCGAAGGTCGTAGTCACTCACAGGGCAGTGAGGGGCCCAAGGGCAAGAGCAAGAGCCGTGGGAGCCACGTGGAGGGGAAGAGCAACACAGATAAAGCGCCGCCAGTGGAGCCACTCGCCATGCTCCCACCACCTGATGCACCCCAAATTGTGAAGGTCCGTGCTGATTCTGCAACCAATACATGCCCATTCGGTTTCCATCCATCCTGTATAGCAGCAAGGATGCATCCGTCTCATGCTGCCATGCCCCCACAGGTCCCCTCTCTGCCCCCTTCTCTCCCCACCACACTATGCGGTCCTTCTCTCCCCACCACACTATGCGGTCCTTCTCTCCCCACCACACTATGCGGTCCTTCTCTCCCCACCACACTATGCGGTCCTTCTCTCCCCACCACACTATGCGGTCCTTCTCTCCCCACCACACTATGCGGTCCTTCTCTCCCCACCACACTATGCGGTCCTTCTCTCCCCACCACACTATGCGGTCCTTCTCTCCCCACCACACTATGCGGTCCTTCTCTCCCCACCACACTATGCGGTCCTTCTCTCCCCACCACACTATGCGGTTCTTCCCTCCCCTTCTGTGCGCGTCTCTCGTCCCGCCACTCCCTTTGGCCCTCTCCCTTTGGCCCTATCCATTTGGCCCTATCCCTTTGGCCCTATCCCTTTGGCCCTCTCCCTTTGGCCCTCTCCCTTTGGCCCTATCCCTTTGGCCCTATCCCTTTGGCCCTCTCCCTTTGGCCCTCTCCCTTTGGCCCTATCCCTTTGGCCCTCTCCCTTTGACCCTATCCCTTTGGCCCTCTCCCTTTGGCCCTATCCCTTTGGCCCTATCCCTTTGGCCCTCTCCCTTTGGCCCTCTCCAGTGCCAGAGCTGCTTCAAGTCGCTACCAGTGCCCAGTGTGCTGCATCCAGCCCGCAAGGCCTACCAGCAAATACCTCGCCACACTGCATTCCTTTGCTTTCCTCCCCTCCCCTGCCCCCCTTCGCCCCCCTCCAGTGCCAAGTCTCTAGCAGTGCTCAGTATGCTGCATCCAGCCCCCAAGGCCTACCAGCCAAGTACCTCGCAACACTGCATTCCTTTGCTTTCCTCGCCTCCCCTGCCCCCCTCCGCCCCTCTCCAGTGCCAGAGCTGCTTCAAGTCGCTAGCAGTGCCCGCCCACCTGCCCCCAGCGCCCAAGGGCTACCAGAAGCTGCGTTGTGGTAAGTGCCTCAACGTCTCCCGCTACTCGCTCTACCACCCCCCCGCTGCTGCTGCTGCTGACCCAGCAAGAGCACAGCAGGAGGGGCAGGAGGAGGGGGAGAGGGAGGAGGGAGAGGGGGAGGGAGAGGTGGAGGGGGGGAGGTGGTTGGTGACAGAAACGTATGGGATGGGAGGGAAAGGGGCAGGTGAGAGGAATGGAGGGCAGCTGGTGGGAGTGCAGGCGGGGGCAGGGCAGCTGGGTACATCTCAGATGTTCGATGGGATTCCTCAACAGCAGCACCAGCAGTACCAGCACCAACAGCTACAACAGCTGCAGCTGCATCAACACCAGCAACACGAGCAGCGGCAGGAACAACAGCAGCAACAGCAGCAGCAACAACAGCAGCAACAGCAACCGCAGCAGCAGCACCTGCAACAACAGCAGCAACAACAGCAGCAGAAGCAGCAACAACAGCAACCGCAGCAGCAGCAACAACAGCAGCACCAGCAGCAGCAGCCGCCGCCGCAGCAGCCGCGTCATCGGCGTGTGGCCTCCACAGGCGCCGCAGCAGTGGTGGCAGCAGCAGTGGCAGCCGCAGCAACCACCACAGCAGTGTCGCTGTCTCGCAGCGCCAGCAGCACGGGCCGCCACGACTCCCCCTACCGCAGGGGAGCGGGGCTCTCTAAGGGCGGCAGGGGCGGCAAGGACGGCAAGCCAGGGGGTAAGCACCAGCGGCGAGCCACAGTGGACTCGGCTGCAGTGCTCCTGGCATGGGAGGGGGAGGCCGGTCAGGCTGGCCAAGCCAGTGCGGGCAGCAGCGGTGGGCGTAGTGGGGGGAGTGGGGGTGCAAGTGGTGGCATGCCCCCTCGGCCCAGCACAAGCAGTGGCGCGAGTCAGGTGCCTGTGGCGTCGGGGTTTGGGCCCTGGGATGCCGCCACGGCAATGCAAGCTGCTGCTGCTGCCGGTGCTGCTGCCGGTGGTGGTGCTGCTCTGCCTGCTGGTGTGGCCGCCAGTGGAACCGCAGCAGGGAGTGCGGAGTTAGTGTGGCAGCAGCAGCTGTGGCAGCAGATGCAGCAGATGCAGCAGCAGCAGATGGGGGCTAACTTGATGCAGGCACAGCCCATGGCGCCCCCAGGCGTGATTCCCATGGTGCCATCACACCAGTTCCCACTGCCCATGCAGCAGATTAGCATGCAGCAACCCTGCATGCAGCAACCCAGCATGCAGCAACCCAGCATGCAGCAACCCAGCATGCAGCAGCACTTGCCTCCTAACCCCATGCCCTCGTCAGCAATGCCTGGTGCTGCCATGAATGCACATCCTCCCCTCCCGCCCTACGCTCTGGCAGGGCACGGCATGCCAGGCATGCTAGTGGCGCCAGGGGTCATGGCGCCAGGTGGCATGGGGCAAGGGGGCATGGGCATAGACATGGCTGGCATGGGCATGGGGGGAATGGGCATGGTTGTGGGGCCCATGGGGTTGGAGGGGCCCATGGGCGAGGAGGGGGGCTACAGCCGGCGGGTGGTGGTGAACAGTGTGCCCATCACGGACGCGGCTGTAGCGCGGGCAGAAGAACTCGCTGGGCCCATCCACCCGGGCAGCTACTGGTGAGAGCGGCTGGTGCTGCGGCGTGCAGCAAATGCTGATGGATGGGGGGTGCATTTGAGAGTAACTAGGGGCGTCTAGTATGTGTCAAGTTTAAAGCAGGGAGTATCGAATTTCCAGTTCAGGCAGCGAGTGAGTAGTGCAGGCAGCGAGGTACTACTGACACGAGTGGCTTTCATCTGGTGAAATGTCGAAAGCCACTGACGCCCGCGCTGGTCTGGGTGGTGCAGGTACGACGTGCATGCTGGCTTCTGGGGAGTCATCGGAGGGCCCTGCCTTGGGATCATTCCGGTACGCCCTTCCCTCTCTTCTCTGCTGCCTTCCTTCTGCTCTCTGCTGCCTTCTCTTTCGATCTCCTCCCTTTCACTTTTAGCTTCAGTGCCTTCACACTTCACGCCTTTTCTCCATAGTCGTGCTAACCCCTTTCAATCCACATTCTCTCCCGCATTGCCATTCACGATCTCATTGGCCCCCCGCCTCCCCCCCCCTCTCAGGCGGGCATCTGGGACCTGGCCCTAGCTCCCCTACTCCGCCACTGCTCCAGCGGGCAGACGCTCGTGCTGGTGAACGGGAGGGAGCTGCAGCGGCAAGACCTAGACATCCTCATGCAGAGGGGCCTGCTGGACCACCCGGGCGCGGCCTACCTGCTGGACATCCATGGCAACCTCGCAGATGCCACGAATGGAGAACCCCTGCCCTGCCTTGGCAAGCTGGCTCCCTCGTAAGTTTGGCTCCTCCTCACAGTCTACTCCCTCACAGTCTTGTCCCGCCCCCTGTTGGACCACCCGGGTGTGGCCTACCTTCTGGACATACACGGCAACCTCGCGGATGCCACCATCGGGGTGCCCCTCCCTTGTAAGATTTCCTCGGCTTATTTCCTCCCTCGCAGTCTTCTCCCTCGCAGTCTTCTCCCTCGCAGTCTTCTCCCTCGCAGTCTTCTCCCTCGCAGCCTTCTCCCTCGCAGTCTTCTCCCTCGCAGTCTTCTCCCTCGCAGTCTTCTCCCTCGCAGCCTTCTCCCTCGCAGTCTTCTCCCTCGCAGTCTTCTCCCTCGCAGTCTTCTCCCTCGCAGTCTTCTCCCTCGCAGCCTTCTCCCTCGCAGTCTTCTCCCTCGCAGTCTTCTCCCTCGCAGTCTTCTCCCTCGCAGTCTTCTCCCTCGCAGTCTTCTCCCTCGCAGTCTTCTCCCTCGCAGTCTTCTCCCTCGCAGTCTTCTCCCTGACCCTGTTGCACCACCCGTGCGCGGCCTACCTGCTGGATATACTCGGCAACCTCGCCGACGCCACCAACGGGGAGCCCCTCCAACCCTCCTGGTCTGCTCCCTCGCGGTCTTCCCCCTGCCGGTCTGCTACCTCGCAGCCTTCTCCCTGCCGGTCTTAGCCCTCCTGATCGTCTCCCCGCCTCTGCTCTTGCGTGTCACGTGCATTCTGTTTCCGGTCTTGCTGCATAGCGAGGTGGCTGTGCGTGTCATCCTGGCTGTGCGTGTCATCCTGGCTGTGCGTGTCTTCCTGGCTGTGCGTGTCATCCTGGCTGTACGTGTCATCCTGCCTGCGCTGCCTGCTGAGGTTGTTGTGATGCATGGAATCTGGCAGCTACTGTACACGGCAATGCACGGTGTTGGTGGGAGCTATAGCGGTGTGTATTGTCTAAAATGGATCAGCATTTATAGCAGTTACTGAGTTACCACTTGCTCTCGCCTTCGCACTGTTTGCTTTGAGAGCCGGATGGTTCATCTGGAAGGGGATGCTGGGGTCTTCTCTGCCGGCTCTCATGTGGTGTTGCGTGCAGACTCGAGCTCAAGGGCAGGGGGGCAGGGATGTTCGTACCCAAACAGCCAACGCAGGGGTGATACTCTCAACTCTGTAACATGTCTAGTGTGCAATGATGTTCTCAGTGAGGCACGGTCCAAAATATTTTTATTTGTAAATGGAGCACAATTTCATCCAGCAGGCGGAGAGGTGGAGTGGAGTGCACCTCGGGCAGCATGCTGGGTCTGTCGGTGTGCTGTGAGCAGGGCCCTAGATATCAGCCTTTTTACGCTGATTCAGCCTTTTTTCAGACATTTTGTTGGTACCAAGGCTGAACACTCAGCCTTTTTTGTTTAGTGGGCCCTGAAAAATCAGCCTTTTTATTTGTGTGTTGTCTGAATTTTCAGCCTTTCTTTTAGGGTGTACTCTGAAGCATCAGTGCATGTATATGGGGGGGCGCTGAAACCGAGTACAGCGTCATTTGCCCGGCTCCCCCGCCCAGTCAGACACACCCACCCGCAACCCCAAAGAAATCGGCTAAGTCCTCTGCAGGCAGTCACACCGAACTCAGAACACCTGCATGCCAGAAGTTTTTTGCTAAGTCCCCCCGCAACCAGTCACACCGCACCCCACACCTAACACCCGCAAGACATTTTTTTGGCGAAGTCCCCTGCAACCAGTCACAAATCACTCACACCCCTCTCATACCCCCGCAACCAAGGAAGATTTGCAGAGTCTCCGCTCCACCCCACAGCCACACACGTACCTCCCTTCTCCCACTTCCCCACAACCAAGGGTACATAGAGTACAGTTACCAGGGCTTATTTTTTACGGGTAACTACCTTGATTTTGACCAAATAACGGGTGAGTTTTGAACCAAAACCGGATTGCGACGTGTTCGATTTTCATGAACCCTGATTTGACGGGTACATTTTGACCAGAACACGTGAAGTGACGTGTTCGGTTTTGAAAAACACGGATACTAAAACTTCTCACACCACCCCACAGATCCCCCCCCCCATTCCCTCCCCCCAGGGCACATCAGCCCTAGCAAGGAAGTTCAAGAAGTAGAAGTATAAGAGCTGAGCGTAGTACTCTTACATGGTTCCCCTTGTAGAATCCAGGAACTTTTCGTGAGAGCGTTTGTCATGACGGAGAAAATCCCGGGACTGAACCCGGACATTGACGGGTAACGTTCCAGATAAACCCATTCTGTCTGGGTCCCGCGAGAGATATACCCGGATCTGCCGTGTGGACGAAAACCCTAAGGTAAGCTATGTACAGTACTCATGCAGACACGTGTCCCCTCCTTGTTGCGATGGTGGTGTTTGAGGGCGTATTCTTCGCCAGTGGCAGGACACTTGCCACAAACTTACAGACGCTCACGATCGTCTCCCATCTCTCAGGCTGGAATATCGACCGTAAACAACTCGCCACAAATCGGCCAGCCACATCGGTGAGGAATGCGCCATGACTAGATGTGGGTCGGGCACCACGCTGACGCGAAATTACCTTAATTACCTTAAAAAAACCCCGCGATTGAAAGGTAATCATAAAACATTCGTGCATATTCAAGGTTTCTTTCAGCTGCATCCGGATTCCAAAGCCCACCGCAGGCCACACTTTCACCCGTTTCCGTCGGTTTCAAATTCCTAGTATCGATGCTTACATCGAAGGTATTTCTTACTTAGACCGGAAAATTGTCACTGCGCCAGCCAATCATCAGAATGTCAAGTGCGCAGCCAGGACATAACCGCATTACTGAAAGCCTGCGCTAATCTACAAAGCGCGGCTGAATCTGTGCATCAGACTTTTTCTTCTAGGTAACGCTGATTGATCAGCGATTTTTTTTTTCCAACACTGAAAATTCAGCCTTTTTTCCAGGGGCAAGGCTGATACATCAGCCTAATTTTGGGGGGTGAGGCTGACGAATCAGCGTACCCAAAAATGAATCTTAGTGTCAAACATGTGTATTTGTCATGTTTGTATAGACTGTATAGAGTCACCTCTTAGAGGATACAAAACTTAGATATATTTGTGTGTACTCTCACTTTACCATTATTCAATTATTCTGATATGGTATCACGCGTAGGTAGGATCCCCCCCCCCCCACCTACCGCTTCCGCTCATGCCCCCTAGCGCCCCTCCTGGGCCCCGTAGCGCTCCTCCTGGGCTTCGTAGCGCCCCTGCCAGGCCCCGTCGCGCCCCTCCTGGGCTTCGTAGCGCCCCTGCCAGGCCCCGTCGCGCCCCTCCCAGGCCCCGTCGCGCCCCTCCCAGTCCCTCTAGCGCCCCTCCTGGGCCCCGTTGCGCTCCTCCCAGGCCCCGTAGCGCCCCGTCGCGCCCCTCCTGGGCCCCGTAGCGCCCCTCCTGGGCCTCGTCGCGCCTCTCCCGGGCTTCGTAGCGCCCCTCCTGGGCCCTGTAACGCAGTCCCAGGCCCCGTCGCGCCCCTCCCAGGCCCCGTCGCGCTCCTCCCAGGCCCCCTAGCGCCCCTCCTGGGCCCCGTCGCGCTCCTCCCAGGCCTCGTAGCGCCCCTCCTGGGCTCTTTCGCGCCCCTCCTGGGCTCCGTAGCGCCCCTCCTGGGCCCCGTCGCGCCCCTCCTGGGCCCCGTAGCGCCCCTCCTGGGCCCCGTCGCGCCCTCCTTGGGCCCTGTAGCGCCCCTCCTGGGCCCCGTCGCGCCCCTCCCAGGCCCCGTCGCGCCCCTCCCAGGCCCCGTAGCGCCCCTCCTGGGCCTCGTCGCGCCCCTCCTGGGCTTCGTAGCGCCTCTCCTGGGCCCCCCGTCGTGCCCCTCCTGGGCCCCGTAGCGCCCCTCCTCGGCCGCGTCGTACCCGTCGCCGCCGCCCGGCCTCGTCGTGCCCGCCCGGCGCCGTCGCGCCCGCCCGACCCCGTCGCCGCCGCCCGGCCCCGTCGCGCCCGCCCGGCGACGTCGCCGCCGCCCGGCCCCGTCGCGCCCGCCCGGCGCCGTCGCACCCTGCCCGGCCCGTCGCGCTCGCCCGGCCCCGTCGCAGCCGCCCGGCCCCGTCGCACCCGCCCGGCCCCGTCGCACCCTGCCCGGCCCCGTCACAGCCGCCCGGCCCCGTCGCACCAGCCCGGCCGCCGTCCCGCTCGCCCGGCCCCGTCGCACCGGCCCGGCCCTACCGCACTCGCCCGGCCCCGTCGCCCCAGCCCGGCCCCGTCGCGCCCGCTCGGCCCCGTCGCCCCGTTCCGGCCCTGTCGCATCAGCCCGGCCCCGTCGCGCCCGCCCGGCCCCGTCGGGCCAGCCCCGGCCCCGTCCTCCTCACTGGTACGGTTCCCCCCCCCCCCCCCCCCCCCCACCCCGCCCTGCTCCGTGCCGCCCTGCACCGCACTGCACCGCCCTGCACCGCACTGTACCGCACTGCACCGCACTGCACCGCACTGTACCGCACAGTACCGCACTGCACCGCACTGCATCGCACTGTATCGCACTGCACCGCACCCCACCTAGCTGCACCGCCCTGCACAGCACTGGACTGTTCCTGATGGCGGCGGAGCTTCGCTTCGACGCTGAAGGTCAGCCCCTAGAGTTCGAGGCGTGGCTTGCCGACCTCCGCCGCCAACTCACTGGCCAGCGGCAGGATGGTGAACCGCTTTCCGCACACCTTGACGGTACGCTCCCCTGCCCAGACCCTCCTGCTATTCTGCCCGCTGACCCCACACCCACTGAGCGTGAGTCTACTGCTGCCACTGCCCGTGCGCGCTCTGTCTGGCTTTCTCGCGATGCTGTCGCCCAGCTTGCCATTAGCAACGCCCTCCCCCCGTCCGAGCGTCCTCGCTTTAGGTCCCTCACTACTGCTCAGGCATACTTAGATGCTGTCATCAAGCGCTATTCCACCCCTCCGGCTGCCTCGGTGGGTCACCTGATCCTCCCGCTGCTCTTTCCTGACCTTGCTTCGTTCCCCACTGTCTCTGACCTCGCTGCCCACCTTCGCTCGATAGAGGAGACCTGGCGCGCCGCATGCACTGACGCACAGCTTAGAGCCCACCAGCCGCCCATTACCTCTACCCTCTACCTGCTTGCCACCCGCCTCCCTGACCGCCTTGCTGTCGCCCGCGACCGCTTCCTTAGCCTTCACCCCGCAGACCTCACCCTCACTGACTTTGTCGACACCCTGACTGTGATAGAGACCCGTCACCGCTCCATCGCCCAGGCGAGCGGTGTCGTGCCGGTCCCTATCTTTCAGGGTTGTGCCCCCGCTCAGTGTACCTTCTCCGACGACTCTGCCGCAGTGGCTGAGACTGCTGCTGCAGCGCAGGCCCGTTCTGGGAAGGGCCGCCGCCCCAAGGCTGGGCGCGGCGGAGGGGGCGGCGGGGGTGCGGGCGGGGGTAGTGGTGGGGTCGGGTCGCCTGGTGCTGGAGCGGACGAGGGGACCCTGCCCAGTCCAGCTGAGTCGCCGCCCCTGCAGTTGCAGCAGCCGCAGCAGCCGCCGCAGTCGCAGCCTTCGCAGCAGCCGCAGCAGCCGTCGCAGACGCGGCAGACGAGTGTTCTCCCGCCAGGGTGGCCCGGCGCTGGCGGTGGACGGGCGCGTGGTGGTGTGCCGCGTGGTGGCTCTGCCGGCGGGCGTTGTCAGTACCAGATCCAGACCGGTCCTCGCCGCGGTTTCGTTTGCGGTAAGATCGGTCACTCCACTCCCCGCTGCTTTCGTCGCCTGGACGACCTCTTTCGTCAGCGTTTCGGCCCGTCGCCAGACCTCCCGGACTGGCACAGTTTGCTTAGTCGTCAGATTCAGATCTTTGATATGGACATGGATGCCATTGTTTCTGCTCTGCATGTGATGTATGCTGATGACTCTAGTGTGCTTCCGACTTATTACTCACTGTTGCCTAGTGTAGGTGTGCCTAGCTTAGCCTCCCCTGCTGCGTCAGGCGTAGGATCCCCTGCTTTGTGTAGTCTTGGTGCTTCTGCCGTCGTTCCGTCGCCAGACCCCTCGGCTTCGCTTTCCTTCACCTTGGACTCTGGCGCCTCTCGGTGTTTCTTCCGCGACTCCACCACCCTGACGCCGCTTCCTGTTCCTGCTGCCGTTTCTCTTGCTGACCCCTCCGGCGGCCCGGTAGTCGCCCGCAGTTCCACCACCCTTCCCTGTCCGGCGGTTCCTTCGGGCTCTCTTACAGGTCTGCATATCCCCTCGTTCTCCAGGAACCTAGTTGGTGTCGGCTGCCTCCAGGACCTTGGCGTCACCACTACGTTCCCTGGTCACGAGCGGTATGCTGTCTGTACCGAGGCCGCCACTGGTGCCCCCCTGTCCACGTTCCCCCGGGACCCGGTGTCCGGTCTGTTCACTCTGGACACCGTGCCCCCCCCGGCTGGAGCGCCCCCTCAGGTGGCTGTGTCTACCCAGGTTGCTGCTGCCTGCTCCTGTCGCTCCCTCACTCACCCGA